CCAATAATTAATGTATACTCATTCTTTCTTTTATAACACTTTTTGAGTATAATGATCATAATATTATTAAAAAAAAATGAAGATTTATCTTAATTAAATATTATTATAAACTCTTCAGATCTATCTGCTTCTCTTATTAAACCATTTTCAAGTATTATAATATCAAAATTGATAAGACTTTATTTATTATCTTAAAGATTTTCTTTATACCATTTTTTAGGAATTAATGAGATATAAAATTTATTATTATCGCTATCCATCATTATTTTAAAATAATGTCTATATATCACTCTACTATTAATGAATAATAAATATATACAAATATGCTAACCACTTTTAAAAGGATTACATAGTGATTAGCACTATTTTTTTAGCTAATAAAGATAGTATTCTCAAAACTTCTATAATATCTTCTTTATTTAGTTTTATTATTATTTACTTTATGTAAATTTTTTGATCTTCATAGTTATTCTTTATAAAATTAACATTTAAATTTTGTTCAAAATTATTAGTATTATTAGAATTTTCATTATCATTGTTGACTTGATAATATAAATTATTTTTATTATCTTCAATTATTAAAATATCAATTTTTTTTTCTTTTTTGACTGTTAATATCCTTGCTTGTTTTCAATTATCTTAACATATCTTGAAATCTAAATTTTATTGTAAAATTCAGTGATTAAAAAATAAAAACATTGATCATAGTTAAACTTAAATTTGAGGATGAAAAATCTTCTTTAAGAAATATAAGAAATTAAAAGAAATAATGCTTTTGGATAAAAAAACACAAAGATTAGGATTTATTTAAAGATTAAAGAGTTCAAGTAATTGATGTTGAAAATAATTATAAAGTAAAAAACATTCTTTATAAAAATATTTAAATGTAACTATTCAATTCTTTATTATTCTTTAATTTATTCTTGATAATATTATTGATAAGATCTTGTACTGATTTAATAATAGATGATATAATATTTGTGATATTCGATAATTCTATAAATGGAAATAATATTTTTTATTTATATTACATTATACGTAATACCATTTTTTATAAAGATCAGGACTTCTGATTTTTAATTTTAAAATAGTAAAAAGTTTATCTACAAGTAATTTAATTTTAAACATCCTTTTTCTTTTTATGTGAAAGAAGTTGCAATATTAGTATTATTGTTATTAAAAGAAAGAAGCTTGAAAAAATAGGCCAGTTTATTAAGAAAGATCTGGTTTGTGTGATAAGTGATGAATTTCTGTTGAGGTCTAAGAAAATAAAGAATTGAATAGTTACATTTAAATATTTTTAAAATTTTCTTATTAATAATTCTAGAGAAATATTTTGAAAGTAAAATGAACTTATAAAGTATTAAAAGCTATAAAATCTAAGAAAGTAAGAATCTAGAACATTTTACTTTGGTTAGAAAATTAGCTCTATTATTGTAAAAGTCTTCAGAATGTCTTTTAACTCTGATGAGTTGAACAGATAATTATAATTCTTTTATAATATAATGAATCAGCATTCAAATTATGTAACTAGGAATCTTTTTTCTTATTCTAATAGTAAAATCTTTATTTATGATAATTTTGTTAAAATCATCAATCACTACTTAGCTATCTAAGAAAACAGTAAGTGTGGATAGTAGAAAACAAATAATTATGACTGAAAATAATGCAAACAATTCAACCCTAGCTGATGATGATGAATTAAGGATAAAAGCAGAAAATATATTTTAAGAAACCTGTGAGAGATCAGAGTATATTCAATCAAGGTCTATTTTATAATTAATAGAGAAGAAATTTTGTAATGATCTATCAATATAGAATGAGGGAAATGAAAATTGGTAAGATAGAAAGATAGCTTTATAAACTTCTCTTGATAAAAGTAGTCCTTAATACAGTTTTTTATAAGAATATATAACTCAAATTATTTTTTTAATTTTTAATGATGTAATACTATCACGAGTTTATTAAAAAGATTTATAATTTTAAATGTACTAATTAATAAAGTAAAAAGAATACAAATAAGAAATCTAAACTAAAACTGCAACTATCATCATAGCTTTATTTTAAGTTTATTTGAATTAATCAATTACTAGCTATTTCTTCAGATACTTGAAAGAACCATTTTTAATGAGCAATTCTTCAACAAAAAAAGGCTAATGAAAATGATAATATCATAACACTTTCCTTTTAATTGTCTATTAATCTTCTAATTACACAAAAAATTAAACACTATTCAAAACTAAATGAACTTAAAATTAATTTCTGAAAAAAAGGAAGGTTAAAATATATAACTTAGATTATTTTTTTTAATGATGTGATACTGTCATAAATTTATTAAACATGCTATAAAAATTACAAATAAAAAATAAAAATAAAAATAATAAAAATAAACTACAATTATTTCCTGTAGCTATATTACAAATTTATTTAAATTGACTAATCACCAGAATTTCTCTCAAGAAAATCACTAAATCTATATATAATAATTGAACTATCACCAAAAAATTCAAATGATATATTAGTACTATGTTAAGAATTTAAACTAAGAGAAACTATAATTAAGAATCAAGAATGTCCATAATTTTCAATTGAGTGAGGGATGAATCTTATGTTTAAGACGTAAAGTTAGTTTTAATCTAACTTATTTTTCTTCAATCAGACTGAAATTCCTTTATTTTTTTCTAATTCAACCATCTTTGTACATCTAGGAATCCAAATATTTTTCCTGAATTTAGAAATGAGAAAGTTGGATATTTTGATAAGAATGAGTTACAAATTGAATGGTGAAACAGATTTCTGAGTAGATTTAAAAACTCAGATGATAGTATTCCTTTAGATAGAAGAATGCACAAATTGAGATTTATAGAAGGATCCAAAAAGTCAAACAATTAATTTCTAAAGGATCTGTATAAGAAGAGTTGATTTTTGTTTTTTTTTATTTTATCTGTGATAATATTATCCAAATGATCTCATATAAATTTACAGATAAGGTTATACTATTTCTAGATACGACACAAGTCTAGTTGCTTTATCATTTGGGAATTGAGAGATAACAGCAATTCATTCATCAAAAATAGGTGGTTATATAACATTGTGATACTAAGTATCCTTAATGTCAACTTTAGGTTAATATTGTATATTTTCTATCTTCTGAAAATTAGGATAGTGGAAAATTAGGTATTGTATAATTTTGAAAATGCTCATTAACATGATTCTTTATTATATAGAGATTATTTATTAATATTTGTTGATCTTTTTTATTTTTGATTATAAGTTTATTTAGGACTATTGATTATTTTTTCCTATTTAGAATTGATTGAATAATTTTCTCTGGATTAGATTCAAGCTGAAGACAATGTTAATCTATATAAAACTTTATAGATATTTTGATTATGTTCTCTTATTTTACCGTTGAGAGTACTTTGATATTATGAAAAAGTTTAAGAATGGTACATTTGACAAGTTTAACATTTAAATCGTCAATAAAGTCTAGTAGAGTAATATCAGATAATTTTACTTTTTTAATCACTTCTCTAATAGTATTGCAATCTGATTTTCATTTTTTTCCAAAAGGTTATTTTCTCTTTCTAACTCTAGCAGCTCTAAATTTTATAATGATATGGTTAAGAAGTTTTATTTGGTCATAAAGAGTTACTAGTTCTTTAGCTTTTAAAGGTTTTTAGTTAGCAAAAATCTATCTATAAGGTATGTTTTTGTTGATAACAATTAGAATTGTATTTCTGAGTAATTTCCATAGCTTGTTAATATTTAAAATTGAAGACAGAGATGGAGAATTGAATTTATGCATAAAATGCTAGTGAAAATATTTATCAGTTGCATCAGAAAAAACTTTTTATATCACCTTATTTATAATAGAGAAGTTGAATTTTTTTCTCTTTGAGTTTTTTCTTCTTGTATTAGCTTCTTATTTAGGATAAAGGTTGGCAAAAAATGCAATAACTATTTTGTGATCTGACTTGTATATAAAGGATTTGAAAATACAATAATATAAAAAATCAAAAATAAATTTCAGAGAGATATAGATATCATCTAATCTTTTTGGAAATGAATTTATTATGTTGCTTTATAGGAGATGATATATAAGAAATAATTCATCATTGCTTATTATCTAAAGATCTAGAAAGTTTCTTCATTCTAATTCAATAATTAAATTAAAGTGTTAACTGAGAGGTTTATTAAGTTTGATACATTCATAATAGTTGTCAATGTTAGTATTGTAGTTATTCATCAAAATGGTATGATATTGATTCTTATTACACTTATCAAGCATATTAAGAATGAATTATTGTAATTCTTTTCTTTCTTTGATTATTTTTTTATTGTGAATGTTAGTATGAAGATAGTAGCTGATAATTCTAAGTTTAATATGTCCTTTTAGAAAGAGATCAATATAGATTAATTTTGAATTAGAAATTGAAGTTTTTACAATGTATCTATCCCATTTTTTTTGAAATTAATAAGACTACACCTGCATATAATTGCTTTAGATCTGGATTACTCCAAAAAGAGGTATAGAATTTATCATTTTTATATTTGTAACATATTGAGAACTTATGGTGAGTTTCTGTTAAGCTTATAAAATCTGTATTTTTGTTTTTAAAGAATTCGAATATTTAAAAAGATTTAATTGGATTAGTAGTCTCGTTAACTTTTTTAATATTATGTATAGCAAATTTGACACTATTACCTAAAATAATATCATCAGCTAAGGTTTTGTTTATATGAGAAATATCATTATCTATACATTGAGTGATGCGAAGATGATTATCATAAAATGTAATAATTTGTTATTGAAGGAAGGAAGCAATATTATCATTATTATAGTGAAAAAGGTAAATATCATTATCTAAGTAAGAAACAGTTATATTAATATTTCAGTTATCAGTAGAAATATTCTTATTAATTGATTTGTTTAGTGAGACAATTTTAAAAATAATGAAGTAGAGTCCTATTGCTAATTAAAAAAGAATTAAATAATTCTACTTTTGATCTAATCTGGTTAAGTACTCCTTTATAGAATTAAACTCATTTAATTTAGTCATTATCAATGCAAGAGGATCATTTGGAATTTTTAATTTAAAGTTCGTATTGTTATTTGTGAGTAAAGCATCATATATTGATAAAGTATTTGATTCTATTAAAATCTGATTGTACTTGTTTAGGGTATACTCTTTACGTCTAATAAAATCTTTGACTTGATTATTATTATTACAGATTAATTGTCTACTAGAAGAGCGATTTCTTCTAGATTTCTTAAAACTCTTTCTTGAATTATTGAATTCTAAGTGATTAAATAGGATGTAAGATTTAGAGAAAAATTGCATTTTACCAAAAATCTTAAATTTATTACAATGAATTGGTAAGGATAAGCTTTTAAGAGTTCATTTGTAGTAAAGAAAATAACGTAAGTAATAGAATTGTAAAAGTAACAAGTTTTACTCCTATATGGTTTAAGAATATCAAATACTTGTACTGCTAAAAAGTTGTTAAGAAAGCCTTTAAAACTAGTGATATGTTTGTTTCTACTTTTCAAATCTTCTAGTGCAGCATTTATTGAGTTAATTCTGATGTAATATAAGGAAATATTGATTGTCTAAAAATTATCTAGTGTAGATTTTTCTTATTATATAGGTATTTAAAAGTTATAAAGACGTCATGTGAATTATCAATGGTATGTCTGAATTTATCTTTTATTAAAGCTATCAGACCAAAAACAGACATTCTTTTAGAAATACTATCTTTTGAGGAACTTTAATCATTCTATATTTTTTACTTTGATTCATTTATTGGTTGATAAAAAATAGGATAAAATATTGATAAAGAGTGTCAAATGTGAGATGTTAACTGATTTAACCATAGCTATTAGTGAATCCATAGAGCTGAAACGAACTATAATATTGTTATTACTATTTTTAAATTGCCAATCAATATTTATATATCCAGAAAAAATTTTCATAACAGTTTCAATAAAATTGAGTTTATTTATTCATGAATTTCCTGAAATAAATCAGCCTAAAACTGGCCTCAATTTGGCAACAATTCAGACGTCGATAGATGCCGATCGACTCCAATCGGACATAACCATTCAGATTAAATTCAACCATAAATCAGCCTAAAATTGACCTTAATTCAGCATCATTTAGCATTAATTTGAAACTTAAATAACATAAATCAGCTTAAAATTGACCTCAATATAGCATTATTTGGTATCAATTCAGAACTTAAATAATCATAAATCAGCCTAAAATTGATCTCAATTTAGCATCATTCAGCATCAATTCAGAATTTAAGTCAGAATTTGAGTATAGGTTTTGCAGTGATGGCAAGTGACCCAAATGACCAGGTCATTCGAAGGTCA